TTAATTAGGTGGTGACAGGCTGAGGAGAAAAAATAACCTTGATCCCGGTTCATGGTGGGCTTGAAGCGTTGGATTTTTGTCTTTAAGAAGTTTCCTAATTCTTGTAGTCTGATCGGTTAGTTTCTAGGATGTGGATGTTGTCCCAAAGTTGGGGATGAGTTGCTGGTCTTCTAAAATGCCTCTCAAAGAAGTGCAATGTAGGATGTTGATTAATACCCACCTTCGACTGACAACACCCAAATACTAAAGAATAATGCAAGGCGCCCTTTTCTCAAGATAATGATTGTTTAGTCTCAACCTATGACCAACTCTTCTTTTGGACTATGTACAGCGTATACATGACTAGCAGCCAAACTATGTAATTATTATTTGTTTTTGTAAGGGAGAGGTGTTCATATAAGCTTACAGCTTGTTCATCGATCCCTATTCAATTTAATTTGAATAAAAATATGTTTAGACCACAGAAGGCATCTGTGTTTGTGATTTTTGTAATTAACAACTGAGTGTATAGACGATGAATCTTCGCACACGAGAGAACACAAATTGGAAGCGCATACACGAAGGATCACCAATACAATCTACGCCCCGATCGCGATCAAGATCAACTCTACATGGACTGTTTCAAGTTTAACGTTTGATCACTCGTCGTAGACACAAAGAGGTAAGAAATCTGACTCTGGGCGATTTCAGTTGAGTAAATGTACTTAAAACATCAAAGGTTGCGATGTTTTCATGCTAAATTGGGATGCCCCTTTCCAATCACTGTCGGCACAGTAGATGTATTTACTATCTAAACATTCTGCAATCCGATTATCAGCTATGGGATGCCCACTTCCAATCACTGTCGGCACAGTAGATGTATTTGGTTTAAACATATTTTTATTTCGTCAAAGAAACCTGGATAGGCGAACAAGCCTAGTGGTTTATTGATTATCTTATAACAAACAAGTTTTCCCCATAAGATTTTAGTTGGTGCCGTTTTCGCCATAAGATTTGCCTTTTTAGCCTGAAGCCTTTTAATTGAATTAAGGGTGTATCAAATAAATCAATCCATTTTCAGTCCATAATATTACACCAAGATATCCCCAAATTTGCTTGCGAATCATATATGCATCATTGACCCTTGATTGCGACACTCACATTCAATGATACTATAAAGTTGGTATTCGCGTAATCGAGATACCAAACAATAATAATAATAACAAGGCTTTTCTGTAAATGAAAATGATTAAAGGTGTTGTTATTACCAAAAAATGAGCGTTATTGGTGAATATAGATAAACGGATTTCACAAAGTATTATTCTGTCCTCATTGAATTGATCGGAGTAATACTGCTGAAACATCATGCATAGCATAACCTTCAAGTCATCAAATGGATAACAATAACAGGGTCTCATTTAAATCAGAGCGCATATACCGATAAATTGTCCATGGGAAAGACAATCAAAGTTGATGCTATGGAAACACAGAAAATGTTTAAAGCATGTGTTGTTTTCTTAATGTTTAAATAAAACATCTGTGGTTTTCTTAAGCTACCTATACGTAGAAATTATCATAACAACACCACTCCTCTTGTTTGTTCACTACAACTAACTTTGACTACATCAGACAATTATGACCTGAATAACACATCAACAATATTAAGACCAAGAACAACATCAATTCGGTAAGTCAATGTCTTATTCCGCTGACTGCATTTGCATGTCATCACACGTGAGAGCATGTTTTGTCCTGTGTTTTGTCAGTCAAATGTGATATAGTCAGAATGGGAGTGAACAATACATCGAAATGGGCGTAAATTAAGACAGAACAGGTGGTCATTGAAGCAATTGTTTTCATCACCGTAACAAAACAGAATCAATTACGTGAATACGGTTCCGCACAAAAGCGGAATTAACGGCGGTATTTGTCTTAATTTGGTTGACTGAAGTTCGTTGTATTCATTGTTTGTCAGGTGGTTGATTTTTTAAATAGATAGAAGAGCAATTACAGATCCATATAATACACTTTGGAATGAGTTAGCACTGTGTAGTGTTGTTTTTACTTTGAGTAAAGTCAATCAACTCGTCGATTTGAAAACGTCTTGTGGTAAATGTATAAGGAGTGTGTGTTAATTAGAAGGTAAAGCTACTCTGTTTTCAATTTTGCGGTCCTTTATCGTTGATCTAAGATGTTCAATTTAAATGTTCGGTTTTTAGATTACATTTAGCGGTCTTGTATCAACGATAAAGGACCGCAAAATTGAAAACAGAGTAGCTTTATCTTCATTCTAGCACGACAGATAAGCGTTTTAAAACCGCACTCTTTGGAGCGCAAGAACACTTGGCGTGAAGTGGCCTTTTTGCTGGAAATTGCTTGGAATCGTCCAGTTGAGGGACAGGTTGTGTAATGAACAAAATAAGACATTTTCAACAACACAATTTGCTTTATTTCAGGAACCAGTATGGTTCCAGTATGTAACAAGTATGTAACCAGTATGTAACAAGTAGCATAAATAGATCACAAAATATACAGTTTATACTGTGAGCAACTACAGTTATTTGATTTTCTCAAGTGAATTATTCACCTCCCCTTCTGTATCATAATCGACTCGAAGTTATGAACTTGCAAAGTTTAGTCGCTGCTAACTTTATTCATGGAAGTAATTGTTAATAACGACGCTACTATTCCCAATCTGGATAAGACCCGACATACCAGCTTTTATGTGGGAAATCTGGACAGTGGAAGTGGAAGTTGAAGGACTGGGCATTACGGCGGGGACGGAAGCGGACAGGTTAGGAAATGTGTTGTTGACGTCATGTCCGCTAGACCCAGTTTGAAGTATGGCGGAACACTGCCGCTTTTGCGCTGCTGACGAATCAGTGTTATATGAGGACAGACTCTGGCAGTTTTTGTGCCCAGTAATCTTGACTATTTCCCTTGCTTCCACCCCAGCATGTGAAAGCAGTGTAACGGTTGTGGATCTAACAGTGATTTGTGTAGACCCGACTCAACTCGCAACTGGTCGAGATCCGTTTCATCATCGTTTTCAGTGTGTTGTGACCGAGGGGCTTACTTGTGTACCAAACTTCATCATTCTCACACACATTCTTACGAGGCTGCTGAAAGAGGGCTTCATTTTCTGGATTTAACTTGGACAAGTACTTTCGAAAGGATACAACAGGACAGAGGGGAGTTCCTGTCGCGTATATACGTGGCTTTGTGTACTCGGAATCGCCGACGCCCCCAGGATGATTTTTCGTGCATTCGCTATGTGTCGTGGATACGAGTTCACAGCCAACATCGTCTGTTTCGACAACAAAGGAATGAACAGACAACTCCCTCTGGTTCTCACAGCCCCTTCGTCCAAACCCCAGGGTCAAATCTAACCACACTTTGTTTTGAAGGTCTACAGGGTTTTCCAAATTTTGTTTGTTTCTAATTTTAGCTAAATCACCATCTGAAATGGCATTGTGATGTGCTGGATTATCAAGACCTAACTGCTTTAGTTTTTCTAAACATTGCTGAAAAAACGGCGTTTGCCGAGTGAAATTCTTTGTCTTGAAGAATGTTAATGTTCATGTTAAATGGTGGCTGTCTAAGATGTCTGTGGATCGCTCACGGATCCCCACATACGATGACGTGGCATAATAATTCCTGTAGGAAGTTCGGACGAAATTGTAGCCACTCTGGAAATATAGTTTAATAAAACAAATTGATTTATGTGCGCTTCAATGTTTTAATATCATTTTGTTTAAAGGTAAGTAGCAACTTTATCTTACATGTTCAAGATGATTTACATCACCCTCGTTTATCATAGGATATGTTAGGCCAAATCTTGATAATTTTGTTCCAACAATATGTTCCAGATCATTGTCGGCACTCTTTTGAAACGCTTGGTAGCAGGTTCGTTTTTGATATCTAAAACAGTAAAATGGTAAATTTGAGGAAACATTGCGTACATTACAAGAGATAAATTTAGGAATATTTTCAGTCCATTTTTTTCTTTCCTTTTTATACGAATAGACATACACCTAGCGTTCGAGTTGACGCCTGCTGACTTTTAAATTTAAGAAATGTGAAACGAATTATCGCTATTTGTAGAATTTTCCACCTTCAAAGTTTCTTCATTTGCGTTAGGCTCCAGAAATTCTTCGTCGAACCATTCCCTTTTCAGTTCAAAAATATCAAAGATGCTGCCGAGGTAGAAGTCTCCGATGTCAGACATGTTTGTTTACAAACAAAAAGGTCAACGAGTTGATTGTATTCATACGGGGTCAATCAGTCACTTTAATTAACGGTCCTTAAACTGTCATTTAAGTACGGTTTTGATGAGCTCTCAGCCAATCAGAATCGAGTATCACACATTGTCGTGCTAGAATACATATTCTCCCCTGTTCAGCCGTCATCCGACACTAGTACCACCAACCCGAGATCTCAGATAGTCAAGGAGAGACCTTTTCACGTGACGTTGGGCTGTCGTTTCAGTCAAGACTGAATACCCGACTGATACCCGGGGTAGATGTAGAACGTCTGTGTCTTCCACCCCACTGGTGGTATAACATAGACAAACACGGCGAAGGCACATGTGTTGTGTTTCCGGTCAGAGCGAAACCCTGACTGACACAAAGGACTAAATACACTGTGTATGACGGCCGAGTCACCAAGATAAGCATCCCTGTGGAGACAGTTGTGTTTCAGGCTCGCACACGAATTTGCACCTTGGACTTGATCAATCATTAAACAATAATCATTCCGATATATGTACAATGTTTTGAACATTCACTGTGTTGAATTGTTTGTTTCTTTGCCATTTTCATAATACTTTCAAGTTCTTGAAATATACACAATTTCAGACAACCTGAGTAACTTACAATTGAGTAAGTTCAAGGACTCTGTTTCTCTGAAAGGTGAACCAAGCCCATGTATCAACTCGAAATACCTTAAGAAAGATGATAAATTTACAGTGTCTTTGCAAATGACAAATCTCTTCCTTAAAAACTTAAACAAAGCAAAACTCTCAGCTTGCTTCCATCAAGATTCACCTGAATGATAGACTAGAAAACAGGCTAGCTACCCAATGTGGAATTGTTTGTCGCAAACTGAAGAAAATGAAAGGGGGGAAACAGAAAATCAAATGCGAGAAAGACATACACCATGGCCGTGTTTGAAAGGAGAGTTAGAGAAATGCTCTGAAATGAATAATGATGAACGTGTGTCACAATTTGACTCGAACAGAGTGGAAGTGGAAGCTCAGTGTGAGGAAATATGGTGCTCCTTAGCTGAGTGAGTGAGTGAGTTAATATTTAACGTCACATCGGCAATATTTCAGCCATATAGTGACGAGAAATGTTTTATACGAATAATAGATTAAAGTTGCTAAAGAATCAGTCAGCGAAGGACTGTAAAATAACTAGAGTATCACAGATGGAGTCTAAAACTAGCATGAACATGTAAAACTATTTTATTTACGAAGACAATACAATATAAAAACAGGCTGTAGATTGCTACCGACTGAAGGTAGATCACCATACTAGGGACCATGGGGACTTACAATACATTTGCTTCCTGCATGGACCCTAGCTGGATTTACACCATCCCTTCAGCCGTCAGCAAGTTTAGACAAATTAGCCATAAGTTAAAATAACACATATTCTACGATTAAAACTAATGGTGTGTTTAAATTTAGTTTGAATGTTTTGGGACTTACGTACCCCCTCAGGAGGACAATAATTTTACAGTGCTTCAACCCCCTGTGAGGATACAGCCACTAACAATCTCAGCTGCTCAATTAAACTACCAAATATAAAATATTTATCTATTTACAATTCATTCAACAAATCTAATTCTTTTAAAAAAGCAATAACTAAATGTGAACTGATATTATTAAAAAGATCCTTCATCGTTCGTGATTTGAAATAGATATCCCTTGTGATGGAATACTTAACACAGTCAAGCAAGACATGCTTGACCGTGATTCGTTCATCACAAGGGATACAAAACGGAGGATCGTCGCCTTTCAATAAATATTCATGAGTATATCTGGTATGGCCAATGCGACATCGTCGCATAATGACCTCTTCAAATCTGGACTGACAACCCAAGTAGGTGTAACCAATGTAGGGTTTTATTGCATGTAATTTATTAATACCTACTTGGGTGTCCCATTTCTTTTGCATTAGATCGCGGATGTATGTTCTAATGCTGGCTTTATAATCAGAGTATTGGATAAGAAGTGGTGTCACAGATTTGTTGAGGGCTGCCTTAGCAGCAATATCAGCCATCGTGTTCCCAGAAATGCCAACGTGGCTGGGTAACCAACAAAAGACGATGTCGCATTGGCCAGTAGCAAGTTCATTGTACAATTCAATAATTTCTAATAAAAGTGGATGTTTGCAAGAAATATTTTTAATAGCCTGAAGACACGAAAGAGAATCTGAAAAGATGATATATTGTTTATATTTACGGTGTTTATTAATATATTTAAGAGCTGTTAAGATGGCGTTTGCTTCTGCTGTAAATATAGAGCTGTTATCCGGTATTCTAGAAGATATTGTTCGGGATCCAATGACAGTGTCACATGCCACTGCGCCACCATCCTTGGACCCATCTGTAAATAAGGATTTGTATGTAATATATTTTTTCTTTATTGACTAAATTCTTGTTTATACTGTAATTCATTTGTTTCTGATTTTTTAAATGTAGTTAATGTTAGGTCAACTTGTGGCCTAACCAATTGCCAAGGCGGAGAAGAAAGAAAACGGGAAGGAGCTATATGTTCTAGCTCAATGCCAGCAGCAGAAAGGAAAGGTTTCACTCTTATACCAAGAGGCGGAACAAGAGAAGGCTTCTTGTTATACAGATCTTCATAGAGTGGATTAAAGACACAGTTATATGCAGGGTTTGACTCATTGGAATAAAGTTTTGTAATATACTGTAAAGTTAATTTTATACGGCGTTGTGTAAGAGAAGGCTCATCAGCCTCGACGTAGAGACTGTCAACAGGAGAAGTTCGAAAGGACCCAAGACAAAGTCTCAGACCTTGGTGGTGGATAGAATCTAATAGTTTTAAGTTGCTTTTACAGGCTCCACCATATACGATGGAGCCATAATCAAGCTTCGAGCGGACAAGTGATCTATACAGGTGTAGGAGGGTAGTTTGGTCGCCTCCCCACTTTGAATTAGAAACGACTTTCAACAAATCGAGTGCCTTCAGGCATTTAGTTTTAAGGGATTTGATATGCGGAAGGAAAGTCAAATGGGAGTCGAAAATTAGACCCAAGAACTTGGCCTCCTTGACAACTTTAATGGGAATACCATTTAAAAATAGTTCTGGGTCCTTATGAGGCTTATATTTCCTACAAAAGTGTATACAATTAGTTTTTGACTTAGAAAATTTAAAGCCATTTTCAAGACACCATTTATTTATTTTATTTAAACACAACTGCAGTTGTCGTTCAATAGTGTGCATATTTTTACCGCGACAAGAGATATTAAAATCATCCACAAATAATGATCCATCAAATAAATCATTTAAAACTTTTGATAAACTATTTATCTTTATACTAAACAATGTGACAGACAAAATACTGCCTTGCGGCACACCCTCATTCTGATTATAATGATCAGACAGGGTTGAACCCACTCGGACTTGAAATTGCCTGTCTTTTAAAAACTGTGATATAAAAAGAGGCAAACGACCTCTCAAACCAAAATCATGTAAATCCTTCAAAATGCCATGCTTCCAAGTCGTATCATAAGCTTTCTCAAGATCAAAGAAAATTGATACAGCATGTTGTTTATTTACTATAGCATTTTTAACAAAGGATTCTAGTCGTACCAGATGATCAATGGTACTACGGTTTTTCCTGAAACCACATTGAATATTAGTTATAAGGTTATTGGTTTCAAGATACCATGTCAGTCTATTATTTACCATTCGTTCCATGGTTTTACAGACACAACTCGTTAAAGAGATTGGTCTGTAATTTGATGGATCAGTATGATCCCGGCCGGGTTTTGGAATGGGGACGACAATGGCATTACGCCATGAAGTTGGGAAATTCCCTGAAGTCCATATTGAATCAAAAATATTTAGCAATGTTTCCAAACATGGTTCGGGCAAATGCTTCAAGAGCTGATAGTGGATATCGTCTGCCCCTGATGCTGTATCATGAGCTTGCTCAAGGGCGGTATGTAGTTCATGTAGTGAAAATAATTCATTATAATCTTCACCATTGTCTGAGTTAAAATGTAACCTGGTCTTCCTGTTGTTTCTGAAAGTTTTGAAACTCAGGGACATAATTGGATGAAGATGAGTGCTTGGCGAGAGTTTCACCAAGTTTATTGGCAATGTCAGTTTTATCAGTTAATAAATTATCACCATCCTTCAGATGGTGAACAGTAGATTTAGAACCTTTGCCCTTTATTCTCTGAATCATGTTCCACACCTTTGACATAGGTGTGCGTGAATTAATTTTAGAAACATATTTCCTCCAAGACTGACGCTTATTCTGTTTAAACGTACGTCGAGCCTTGGCATTTAACATTTTAACTTTATTTAAATTATGGACAGTAGGATGTCGCCGAAAATATTTTTCAGCTTTCTTCCTGCTCTTTCTGGCCTGTTTACATTCATTATCAAACCATGGCTTACGAATATGTGGAACTGCAGAGGACTTAGGTATAGTTTGGTCAGCAATGTCATTGAGTAAATCGGAGAACAACTGTCTCGGATCTTCACTGGTCGCAAATACATCATGTTTTAAGTGATCAGCACACAATGTCTCATATAATGACCAATCAGCCCTGGCAAAGTTCCTTCTGGATAAAGGAGGATCATCACCAGGGCCGATTGTTTTGAGAATGGTGGGGAAGTGATCACTCCCACATAGGTCATCATGGACCATCCATTCAAATTCATTATACAAGATGGAGTCAGCAAGTGACAAATCCAGGGAAGAATATGTTCCCGTAGTTGGATGTAAATATGTGCTTGTATCGTCGTTAAATATACATAGGTTATTATCTGAAATGAATTCTTCAAGGAGTTTACCTTTATTATTTGTATGGGTACTTCCCCAAAGCGGGTTGTGTCCATTAAGATCGCCCATGAGTAGACACGGCTTCGGAAGTTGATCATACAGGTTTTGAAGATCAGACTGTTGAATAGTGGAAGAAGGAGGGATATACAAACTACACAGTGTCAACGCAATGTGTAAAGTCAGACGAACCGCTACAGCCTGAAGATTGGTATTAAGAGGGACAGAGCTATGGATAATACCCTGTCTTACCAAAATACAAGCACCTCCAGTTGCTTTATCACCTTGAGGAGAGAAACAGTGATAACCACTATATTGTCGTAAATTAAAAGAGTCTGTAGTTTTTATATATGTCTCCTGAAGACATAACGCTGACGGTCGAAAGTCCTGTATCAGTAATTGTACTTCATTGAAATTATTTTTCAGACCTCTGCAATTCCACTGAATGAAAGAGGTATGACTCATGTTGATGGTGGAAGTACTGGGGATCTACTTTTCCCAGTCCGAGGCGACTTACTTCTGTCGCGTGCACGAGGATGAGGGGAGACATCCATTTCTTCCAGTATCTGGAATTTGTTGAAAATTTGTACAGGGTCTCGTGAACCCTTTTGTAATCGATCAGATTTTTGGGTGTAATCTACTTTCTGGCTTGCATTTTCACAATAGGAGATGAAACTATTGATGGTGGATCAGTCTGTGACTGTGATGTCTCTTTTTCTAGTAGTAGATGGTTTGATGACAGTGTACTTTTCGTGTTTTACCCACGTGATATAAGTCTGACAGTCAACAGACTTGACGTTTTTAGAAAGAGGGTGTGTGACAGCTGCTGAGTATGATATACCTGTCGATGACGGGGCTGCATTGAATAAAAGCTTTGCTTCCTGGTATATATATTCTTTGTACTTTAAGTTTGACTATTTCATACTCGTTTCCAGATAGGACAAGACTTGGATGAAGACATGTGTTCTCCATGGCAGTTCACACATTTTGGAGATGTGAGACAATCAGATCCGTCATGTGCAGCTTCACCACACCGGTAGCAAGTGATGGGATTCCTGCAAGATTGGGCACCATGGCCAAACTTTTGACACTTGTAACACCGAAGTGGATTCGGTATGTACTGTTCCACTTCGATGAGACAATATCCAGCTTTGATACATTTTGGATGTTTGGGTTGAGAAAAAGAAAGCAAGTACGTGTTTGTTTTTATAATTTCACCATTTCTCTTGGCTGTGAAACGTTTCACATTCGTGACACCTTGACTTTGAAGTTCGGTTTCTATGTCAGCCTCACTCATATCATAGAGCCATCGGTCCCTATCTCTAATGATGCCTTTGCTGCTGTTTAGTGATTTGTGAGGAGAAACTGTGACGTCAACATTGGCTAGGTGTCTTGTTGCTAGAAGAGTGGCAGATTGCTTTGCGGTTTTACATTCGATCAAAAGGAAGCCGGATCTGATCTTTTTGACAGTTTGAACATCCCCAACAATTCCATAAATTGCTTTGGATGTTGCAAAAGGATTTAATTTAAGAGGTCCACCATCAGTAGACGAAACTACTAGAAATCTGCTCCAATTATCAGGAGGTTTGTTTGTGGAATTGTCCTCATCAGAGAATGAGCATTCATCTAATGCACGTTTATGTTTTTTTGGTTGAGCCATGGTTAATTTGAGAAGGTTCACCATCCCAGCTCCCCACCCACCACGGAGTATCACAAGGACAATGCTATAAACCAGTGGGTCGCCGACTGGCAGCACCAAGGATACTGAGATGGTATACTCCAGCAGAAGACTAATTGAAAATTAATCAAACCACCAGATTGGCCCATGAGCCATCGCCTTCTGGGCATAAGGCTCTAGGCATTTTAAATAGGATATATTTCAAAATCAATTTAATATTTTACAAACAAAAAGAGCCAAGACCTAAAGTCAAAAATGTGTTCATAATATAATTTGTGCAAATACAAGTAATGCACAGGGCTCGACATGACCAGCCGATTGGTTGAACCGGGCCAATTCAACCACCCGTCTAGGTGAAGTAAGGGTCGAAGTGGTGTATTGGGCAAAGGAACGCTGTTCCTGGAGCCCTTGCCCTCAACCACCAGAATCCCGTCCTCCACCGACACAGGGGCGCAACCCACGGCAAACGGGTTGGTGGACCTAATATCCCCCCGGGTCCACAACGGGGGGTTGAAGGGCGCTTAGCGTTACCCAACACCCACCACGAGGAGGTGGCCCTTCATGGGTGCCGCTCCTTAGCTGAAGACTCTGTAAATACCCCAGTGGATAGTGATAGTCTTACCCAGCAACAGTCTAGACGACGACTCACACATATTCGGGAGAAGTCTGAGAAAACACTGAAGTTTTTGAAAGAATACGGGTTAACACCCAAACGGCTAACACTGTCAAATGGTAATGTTGTGGATATTACCATTTCATATGGCATAAGTAGCTACTCAAAGCTACCAGAAGCTGAGAAGGAGACGCTTCGCTCCTTAGTTGTTTTGCTGGACAGGTTTGTAGTGAGGTCTTCAGCATATCACGAAATTACTCAACTGTTTCCAACACTTCCACGAACTCATTCGGTTATTAGCATGAAGAATGACATGACATCTACTACAGAAGTGAAGCGAGTTCCAGGTAATGTGCCAGAGGCCATGCTAAGCTTCAGGCATGAACTGCAGAAGAAGGTTGCACAGAAGCTAAAATGCGATCCTGATCTGAAGCGCGTCAAGGTCCAGCTGACAGGCGATGGCACCCAAGTGAGCAGGATAACAAACTTTGTTGTTGTATCGTTTCCAGCTGGTGGGCAGTGAAGAGACGATAGCCTCGTTAACTCTGAGCACATTAGCTATCGTGAACTGTAAAGAGCACTACGGATAAATGATGTCATTAAGGCTGGATGTATTTCTGTTGGTGAACATTCTATTGCAACAGATGTTGTTTTTTGTTCTGACATGAAAATGATATTAACCATGTTGGGCTTAGGAAGCGCAACAGGACATTATGTATGCCCTTTATGTCTCGTGCTCAAGGATAACAGGCACGACACATCTTTGCCGATGGAATATTATTCTAAGGGAGAAATGAAAAGGACTCTTCAAACGATCCAGCAACATGTGGATAAAATTATTTATGGCGCCCAGCATTACCCGCTGCTGGACATTCCAGTGGAGACTTATGTAATTGATGAGCTCCATCTTCTTCTCAGAGTAACAGATGTCCTTGAGAGAAATCTCATGAATGAGGCAATCAGGCTGGATGAGTCCCTGTCGTTTCATAAGAAACCCAAGAGACACCTAGACGACCTGATACGCTGTATCTGCAGTTGTAGGGTACCGTTCAAGGTATGGGAAGACAAGGACTCCAAGATGCTAAAATGGACAACCCTGTCAGGTCGTGACAAGAAAACACTTCTCACTAAACTACCAGGACGACTTGATGGGATCCTTGGTTCCGAGATTGAATCTACAGTATGTACACTGTGTACACTGTTTGGCAAATTCCATTACCTCATCACTTCTGACGATGCATGCTTATCTGGCCATGCAGAGTTCGAAACTGCCAAGTCCTGGATCGAGACTTTTCTCTCCTTGGCTCCTCAATCTGGCGGGTATCAGAGGAGGAATATTACCCCCTACATACACTGCATGGTCTACCACGTTCCTAACATGATTAACAGGTTTGGATCCCTAAGGCAATTCAGCTGCCAAGTTGTGGAGAAAACAAATGATGAAATAAAAAATATATATTTCATCCAGAGCTGAGATTCAACAAACACGTTCATACACGTAAACGTCCAATGTCCTTTCTAAATCATGAAAATATGTGTGCATCACATTTAGCATATCTCATAAAAATCTACAATATATAAGTTAATCTCCTGACCTTCGCCATGATGATTCAGGGAATACCACCAGTGTTGAGACAGACACAGTCTACTGAAATCGTTCTTATGTAAGAAAATCTCCTTGTCGTGGCCCGGTAGGTGACCAAATGCGTATCTGTATATGTCCAGCTGCATGTGCGCTGAATGTAGACCGCCCGGTGACTTTACTGCTGTCTTCAGTGACCTCTCAACAGTAGCTGAAGCAAGTCTGAGGCGCTCACTAGACACGGGAGGGCAACTGTAGTCTTCCAGCAGATGGGCAGGAATGTGGCCTGTGGGTTCCCAGGTAGCCTCTTCTAGAGGGTAGTCCGCCCACTCCACTAGGTAAAGCAGGCCCTTTAATTAAAAAAATTAAATTAGATTAACATACCCCCTCAAACATATGACAAGCATTAAAACATTCATGTAACCCCCATTATAATATGAATTGCTTTATGAAATGACTCTCGTGTGGGTATATCTGTATCTTACCAGCCAACTGTCGGCTTGTTGGTTGTTTCAGGTACATTTGATACATGTGCATCTTGTTATATATAACTGAATAATGTTTATGAGTGGTTGAGACACATATTCGAAGCGAACCGGTAAAACTCTAGCCGGCATAGGGAAGTCAGTAGAATGTATGTATGTATGATAATTTTTGAAGATAATTAACTAAATATATGTACAATACATTAACACATACTGCAGTATGTCTAAATATAGCGTTTGACATTTCTTTTTGTCTTCATCATATTCGAAATGGACACAACCATTTAAGATGAAAAAACCCTTTAAAACAAGGTTTTAGATAGACAGACTTTTTACGCAAATTATATATGGATTATATTGTCCACAATCAATTGTTAGGTTCTTCATTGTGGACTGTCAGTTTCCTACACGGAGGTGTTTCGCGTCTTGTCAAACAGAAATATCACGGAACTTGTTGAATGTAAAAGAAAGGAAATGCATCATGAAAAGCACCTTAAACATGTTTCTATGGTCTCTTGTGTTATCAAGATATAACAATATGAACATACCTGAGGAGACTTGCGCTTCCAAATGACTCTCTGTACTGGATAGATTCCAACTGTGACACGGTTGCTTACAGATTTGTTCAGGGCAAAGGATTGTCCTTCGTGGAGTTGTCTGTAGTTTGTGACTGTTCGCGGTCGAAGTTCCATTTTTAACATTTGTCGAACTGATTACACCAATGGCATTCTGTGAGCTTTTAGAGCTTATGCTTTCAATCAAGTGAAAACACAACACAAACGGCCTTTCATTGCTCTCATTGTCCCACCTGTCATAACGAGGTTCACATGTCTGTACAGTACAACTAATGGTGTTATAGAAATTAGAATCGGACAGGTGTAACTCTAATAGACTTAGTGATGTTTTCATATCAATCAAGGATCAGTATAGGCACACATAACTGGGTAGAGACAGATTCGACGATTATCAACATTTCCTGATTAACTTAACTGTGTTGAGAAAACAGCATTGTTCTGTGTTTACAATGTGTTCCCTTACCAGCTGTGGAAATTGATCGTTATGAAACTTTGCATACATGTCCGCTAAATTACTCTCGGAATGCCACAGACAATGAAACTCATAAACCGCCGTTGCCATAAGTAAATGTGTTAATTATTGACATATGACATATAAAGATCATAGCATGATATTGAAATATGTATATACATGTATATATATATATATATATATATATATATATATATAGAGAGAGAGAGAGAGATTCTCACATATATATATATATGTGTATGTGTGTGTGCAATGTGTATATGTGTGTAGACACTGTTGTAATTTGTTTTAGTTGAGTAATGGAACATGTTTTAATTCTTATAATTATGACACACTACATATGTATGGTCAACACGAGATATATTCAGAACTGATACATTCTTACTTTCACCATCAAGCACGCGTCGTCAAGAACTAAATCTAACTATGAGCGCCTGTGGTGAGACACTGCGGGATGCCAAGCAATTACTTTTGGTCCAAAGGGGAACCACATGTGTTGTTATCTATATTGAAGGGCATTAAAATATTCAGAAGATGGAATCGCAAGTTATATGGCATGACGAGTAGCATGCCCTTGTTTGCACGGTTGGTTGCACATGAGTGTGCATGAAGCGCCAACTGGGCCATGGCACAAAAAGTTGGACATGTTTTAACTTTTTCCAACAAACCTTTCTACTCTTTGACTTGGAATGAATACCATGTGACTTTAACATGTCCCGTAACTCTGACAGTGTAAACGGAACCCACCGACGGTTTCCAGCGTTTTTGCCACTTCATCCACCACATGGTAAAGTCCCATTTTCTGTGTGTGTATATACTCTCTTACAAAATACTATTAAATTGGTCCTCAGTCAATCGTTGGTGAATATACTTTAAGCTAATAAAATGGAAATGTTCGGATAAAAAAATTGCCTCTAATGTAATGGTGTGTTCATCCCGAATAACCTTGACTCTTTCGAGGTTTGTGGTGGGTACTGTTCCTGGTTGTACGTAAATATGACAGCGTTGATTTTCATGGTGTTCATACAAGCATATGTATAACGCATCCAGAAGTTGCACTTTTTGTGTGGGAGCATCTAAGAGAAACTTCGATAATAAGGGTAGAACCTTGTATCGTACGTACCCACGAGCCTGGTGCTGTGAGAAAGTTTTTTAGATACATCCATTGTTTTCCTAATTCCAGACGGGCGATCAGCATGTAACCCTTTTGATCTGGCAGTGATGTAGCGTAAAAGGCATTTTCCTCGAATGGAATAAACCTGTCCAGTAGAACCCCTTTGTTTTTTAGTTCGAGGACATTACGATCCTCATCTGTGATAAGGTAGGGGGAGGGTGAGGACCAGGTTAATAATCCAGTTCAACTGAGATTCAAAGACGACTTCTTGTCGTTTGTACACATTGTTTTGTAAGTGCAACACGTAAAGGCGTTTTCCGTACCGGGTTGGTCGAATCCTCGTGTGTCCCCGAGATCGGAGAACGCGATGGTGGCTTGCAGAGTCACGTTTGCACTCATGACTGTATCCGTATGTTAGGAAATAATTTTCAATTGGTTTTCGGATAATTTCTCGGACGTGCATTTCAACCCCATGAAATGTATGTTGTTGGGTAGGAAAATTTTGGCGAGCGATATCGTGTCTTTTACGGTGACGGTGACTCCCTGCAGGCTGGTGTACGGGTTCACGTTCACCACAATGTAAACGGAGCAAAGTGGTGTTGTTGTTTCGTAGACCACCCGAGTTTGATCCCTCTCACGATTTCGAGTGCGATGGAGATGGTGGTTCGCCGAGGAAGACTTGGATGATCAGCATGGAATTGGCCGGTAGATTTTCCATGATGTCAATCAATTCGTCGAATCCTGTCACCATTGTGGTGATCGGAGCTGTCAGCTGGAAGTTGGGGGACCCGACGGAAAGTGCCGGAGACAGCCGATCGCCACAGGGAGTTCGTGGAAGCCCTTTGTAAGTATGAATTGCCTGTTTCAAGGGTCTACCCTAAACCGTAGATTTGGGCGCTAATACTTGCAAGGTGCGAGCCACGGCTTACTCCACAGTGATCTAGTATCGTAGTGGACACGGTGATCACTACAGTGGCGCTGTGACAAAGATTCTGAGTGAGGAATTCCATTTTTCTCGCTCGGGGCATCGCTCGCTACTGTTCTGTTTCCCGCGCTTGGGAGACCGCATGGTCTTCCACCCAAAGTGGGTGTAACAGAAATTCAGTGGGTTAAAGTATAGAGATAAGGGTTTTCTAGTATCTCCGTACCTATATCGGAGAGGGGAGGACTAGTTATCGTTCTAAAAGTAGCTTAGTGGAGCTTTTTAGGGTAGTTTAGGTTACCCGCGTGGGGGAGCACGCGGGCCCGGGGGGGGGGACTTACTGGTCACCCAGCGTTCTCAGCTCAGCGCTGTGGTGGGGTGGCAGAGCGAGCGAGACTGCATAGCGTAGATAGAACTTATTTAGGGGTCT